GCAAACTTCGCAAGGCTATATTATCCGCATTTTACAAGATTTTGCAACAAAACTTTGGAATATTACTAATTTTGTGATGCTCTTTCAAGCTGTGATGAAATTTTTGTCTAGATCAAAATTTAGTCTATAATGCAAATGGTCCATTACACTGTACTTAAATCTTAATACCTTTTGTCTTTTTAGATATTCACGTGCCATATTTGTCTCACAAGAAATCCTGCGAACCAGCTGACGGTAAATTGTTGACAAATCATCATCATCCATACACTATGTTAAAATATTAAAATGAATTTGTATTTTTGTCTATAAGGTTGTCAGATTGTTGAAGTTAAATTTTCACCAATAGAACCTGTACCAGCAACTTTCAATATCAGGTAGTGTATCCTGTGACTATATAGTAGATGATTAGAGAGATGACAGATAAATGTTATCACAATTGATGTGGTAAATTTTGAACATTTTCCAAAGAAGATAACAGAAACTTTTGTAAACCAGTCTAAAGATCTGTCAATCTTTTCAAGGATAATCTACAGCAATGCTGCTTCTAGTTCATACATCATGGCATTAAAACCCATTGTGATCGAGTTTCATGATATCTTTATCCCCTTGAAACATTCAGCACAGGTGAGATTCACATATACAAAACCGGTGCAATTATGTAACACAATGATCGATTTCACCCAAATTCAAGGCTACAATTACGTGTCTTTCCATCCCAAAATGACGTCACAAGAGTGAGGTGGGATTAGATTAGGTTTGGTATACGGAAGGGGGGGGGGGGTTGAGGGGAGATTGCAAGGATTAGAAATTTAAATATTGCGAAAGGCCTCCGATCGAAACTTCAAAGTTCTTGTTATAGTTTTCAGTTAATTTATCACCTTGAATCCATCTAGGTTGATTGTCCATCGCTACTTACACTCGAATCACAGTTTGAAAACAGTATTAGTATTGAAATTACGGTGCCATGCAGCGGAGTCACATGTGTTTTATTTATACATACACATTTCTTGTATTCAAATATTTAGTGTTTGTCGAAACCAGAGCTTGATGTCGCATTCTCTCCTGAGCAGATGTTTGATGCTTTGTGGCAATACATTGAAGAACATCAATATTCAAGGTAGCGTCCATTCCACTACTTTGCATGTAGTATACCTACATCTGTATGTCGTCGATTTTACATAATTTTACATTTTGTTGTAAGTCGACTCTCTAAAGAATGCCTACATTTTGTCTTTTAGGAAAAATCAAAGTTTTTCTGGGGCGAAATCAATTGTTTATTTGGATCTGGAAAAAGAGAAAGTGGAAACAATTTTGGAAAAACTTGACAACCATATAATCAAACGAAATGGTGAGTTGTTTTATTCACATTTTTCTTGTACCACATGTGGACTTGTTTTTGTTGAAAACCAACGCGACCTCTGTGACTGGGGTTCATTATATTTAAACGTTTATTATTATCTCGTTGCATTTATAGATACGGAGGCATCCGTTGGCGTTTTTCTACCACCCAAACATCATTTTCTTCTACGGTTTGTCCTTCATCCTGCTCACGCGGTTGTTCACGTTGCGACAGACAGGTGGCAAATTCTTGCTTCTTTAGCAACATTTTTGAAATATGGACGAACTATTAACGTGGAAAATTCTTCATCTATGGTGGTATAGTCAATTGTAAGGTAACCGTTGTTGGCATTCAAAGGCCCATTTCCGCTCAAGAAAATTTTCCACGAACAGAAAATTTTCCGAGAATATCATTGCTAAAAGTTGAAAATTTCAACTTCAACTTCAAAATTTTCTTGCGACGGAAAATTTGTATCACATTTTACAAATGTTTTTTTCCGATGCTAGTTCACTTACTGGAGCACAGTTTGTCTTATTCATCCAAAGAAAAAGAAAACCCGTGAAAACTGAAAAATTCATACCGATAAGATTTTCATCTTACTTTAATCTGTCAAATTTCATTACTGCTGCGCAATTTTATATATCATGTCGTACAATACTGTTTATTGAGTATTTATGAATAACGTAACATAATTTTATTTCAATAAATTTAATATTGTCGGTGAACGAAATCATTCGCAAATTAGTTTAATGAAACGTAATAACTAACTTCCAAAATGACCGCCATTTGATATGTAATGGTTATATTTATTGAGAACATATATAGCAGAAATAAAATCAAATACAATGGATAGCATGTCAAATGAATTATATACGATATACGTTACATGTGTGGATTACTGATCCATGTTCTTATGAGCAGAGTTTTTCCACACCAAACATTTAAACTTTTATGATACATTAAGAATGTGTTTAAATCTTCACAAATATCAGGGATACTAAATTACACCACGATTATATGAAGAATTTTTACCAAAATTTACGATTTCGCTGTAACCTATTAAATTTTGAATAAGATCGCCGTTTTCTATTCCATTTGTTCTTTCTATTCTTGCCAAACCGGGGTTTCCAAGGGTGGTATCGGCTCCAGGCCCAGGGTCGATTGAATGGGGGTTTTGTGGGCGATGGGATGGTAAAGATAGTTAGTGATGACTTGTCGGTTGTGATCGGAATTTGGTCGGATATCACCGGCGTAGACTCGGTTGTGATCGGTAATGATTCAGTTGTGATCGGTATTGCTTCGGTTGTGATCGGTATCGATTCGGTTGTGATCGGAATTGATTCTGTGGTCGGGAATGATTCGGTTGTGATCGGGACTGATTCGGTTGTTATCGGGACTGATTCGGTTGTGATCGGTATTACTAATTCGGTGGTCTGGAATTCTGTTGTTTTCCATGCTGTGTTCACCGGAGGGATATTTTTTGTAGGAGGTGTAGGTTGGGTCCCACATTCGGGGATCTGGATTGTAACCATATTGGCTGCGGGCGCGTCCGGGTTGTACTTTACACAGATATGCTTATTTTGTAATTTGATATGGGTGCACTTATATTCACCATATTTACACGCCGTCGAGCAAACTGACGGGTCGTCTTCGCATGATTTCCCGTCCGGACAGCGGTCACCCTCCTGTTTGGAAAACTAAAATAATAAAGGGATTGCATTTATTTAAAATAGTTCATGGTCAAGGGCCCCTGAACAAGGATGACAAAGTGGCGGAGTTGATGTATTCAGTCAGCAAATTTTGCATCTTTGTCGTAGCCTGCCCCCCCCCCCTCCAGGTCGCCACTTTAAATGGGCAGGACCAGGGGCCCTATTCCAACCTCGGTCCCAGGGTCTTTCTTAGAAACGAGGTTGGCCCTATTCCAGTTAAAACCAGGGGCCCTTTAGCACAACGTTACGCGCCACTGCGTTTTATTCTATAAGTGTTATATTAAAAATAGTTAGAATTACAGTTAGAATTATACAATCACGAAAAGTAACTTTTTACTTGTAAAGTTTACTAAAAAAGGGAACATGAAGTTTCATGTTGTCCCACACGAATATATTTCTACGTGCATGCAACAAGTCTCTGACAGCACTGCATGGATCAATGCGAAATCATGCGATTTTTGAAAGATTATGTGAACGACATGATCTATATGTAGGACATATACAGCATTGAGATTAAACTTACCGGAACACAATTCATCTGATCCATCCAAAGAAAAAGAATAGCAGCCAAGATACAACAATTCTTTGTTAACAGTTTCATCTTGCCTGCTTTGATGCTAGCAAGAATCAGTCTGAAAGTCGTTACTGCTGCGGGATTTTATATATATCAAATATTATGATATTATATTTGTCAAATATTATTATTGTCTATTGTGTCTTGAGTTACATTTCAATGAATTTAGTATTGTCGGTGTACAAAATCGTACACAAATTAAATAAAACTCAATTATAATTTTTTAAAACCTATTATAGAATATAGTGATTGCACATATAGTTATTAATTCCGAAATAACTACTAATTTAATTTTAATATCGTTTAATTTCGGTGTCCACTTTGCAATTAAGAACGAAGTCTTAGCAAATTATATTATATGGATTCTTTACTTAGGTTAAATTGTTAGGACTATATAACCAGGAATATTAAGTTAACCGAAATAGTGTTATTTCTGGGTTAACCATTAGGACATTTTAACCAAACTAGAGATTTGCCGTATTCCCAGTAACAATCCTAGCCCTGTCCCTATTAGTATAATGGTAATAATAATACTTAATATTTATATTGCGCAAATTAACATGTTATAGTATATGATCAAATGCGCATGGTATTGAGTATGCCTTTTGGGGATACGCAAAACACAGTTTTGTTTCCATGTGCAATTTGTAACATAAATCAGATAGTATTAACACGGTCTTAGCTTTATACAGACATCGCCTCACTTTCATTATAATTTTGATTATGGTCTTAGACTGATATGTTATTATTTACTAATTATAAAAGTATTTAAATTTAATTAAATATTGGCCTATGTATATGAAAAATAGACATTTTATTTCTCATTTCTCACTTTTACAATCCGAAATGAAATATTTTCGTTTCAACCTCGTCCCCAGGGTAATCTTGGAGCCGACGCATCAGATATCCTGGGGGGGGGGGAGAGAAAATTTTCGCCGTCATCTAATTTTGGATGGTAAGAAACGCAAAAATCTAAATCCAATATTTTAACGATTTAGATCATGCATACCGTTTCCAACATATTTTCCTGTCAGTGTCCTATAATGCACAACAATCTGCAAGTAATTTCGTATGTAGATTAAGAAAAGTCAAAGGAAATTATGACTGTATTGTACAACTTATACAAAATCCTGCTGCTTTACATAAACTTAAAGTTCAGTTTTTCTCATCGTTGAATATCAACATCATTAATTTCTTTAAGATTCTTGAAGGATACGACCGTTGAATATCTTATACAACACCACTGCACACATATACCTTTTCATTAAGTAATAATATAATTAGTCTGGAAAATGATTAAAATGAAATCATAATTGCAAATGCAAGGTCGCGAGGTTCTAGATAAAAGAAGATGTAATTATTTGATTTATTGTATACGATGATGATGATGGAAAAGTATACGAGTATGGCGCACTCTAGCAGGAATTTGTTCTGCGTCTGCTGTGTTTTTCTGATTTGTTGCATTGAATTCTCACACTGTGTACCGGTAAGTAAAACCAGATAAAAAAATCTTTAAGCTCAAAGTACAGCATCGGGCCCGGGCAGATATGTACCGTGTAAGTGGGGTGTGCTTATCATCCTTTCTTGCAGCTTAGAGTCGCTAAGCTGAATTGCGAAGGGCACTGCTCAACCGGATCGAGCTAATCCTACCCTATGGCGACTTAGAGTGTTCACTGACTGTTTCTATAGCGAAAATCGAACCCAAGATCTCGGGAACCCACGATCTCATGCAGGATCCCACTATCTCATGCAGGAACCCACTATCTCATGCAGGAACCCACTATCGCATGCAGGAACCCACTATCTCATGCAGGAACCCACTATCTCATGCAGGAACCCACTATCTCATGCAGGAACCCACTATCTCATGCAGGAACCCACTATCTCATGCAGGATCCCACTATCTCATGCAGGAACCCACTATCTCATGCAGGATCCCACTATCTCATGCTCCTACCCACGGTCTCAGAGATGAACGACGCTTGCTCTGCCGATTGCGTCACCGACGCCCCACATACAAGTTGTTCATACTCATCCCTAACCCATTCCCCGCATTTCACGGCGAATGCCCTTCGGCCTGCCTCCTTTCCTGGCCCTATTGTATTACAGGGCCCGCGGAGCGCATTAGAGAGTGGGGGGGCTAAATCATCAATAAAACCCCCAATTAATTAATTTAGAAAGTTTCATTTAGATTTCTATTTTAATAATTTTGGCTGTCAAAAAAAGTGGGGGGGCGAAAGCCCCCCCCAGCCCCCCCGTCTCCGCGGTCCCTGTATTACGAGAAGGTCACTTACAAGTTCGGCAGGAGTTTAGAAATTGTGACATTCCATGATGCAGCGAGGGTCTGTGGAGGAAGCGGCCTTTCGGCTTTGTCAAGAGACTTGGTACGAACTCTTCTAACCAAACGAAGTCGGCTTGTATTCTTCGTATACTGAAAATGAGTCTATGTGGATTGAACAAGTAATAGTGTGATAATTTCATCACATCTTTATTTTTAGTTTGGATTTTATCCAGCGGCACAACCGGTTTGTATTGAGCCCATGACCCTGTGTGATGCCAAGGACCCAGAGTCGTGCAAATGTAAGACAGGCATAGATTTGTCATGCAAGTTCATCTCGGCCAGACAAGAATTTAGATGTTTACAAGTAAACGTCTTTGAAGTTGCAGGCGATTGTAAACCTCGCTGTTCGACTACACCCCTGCCTTCTAAACAACCTCCAAAAAAACCAGGGGCTAAACTCCTTCGGAAGAAAAAGGCCAATAAGCGTAAAGGGAAAAAACGAAGAATGAAAAAGAAGAAAACCAGAAGGAATAAGAAACACAAATTTGAATAGTGAAGCAACTTTTCGCTCTGAAAGTTATGCATTGGTATATATCTAAACCTTGTAGTTCTTGAGACATTCTAGAATTTCTCAAATTGTAAAGCAGTAAAGGGTTAGTGGTAAGAATTAAAACCATTCATTCATAATACATTTCCAGTTTGAGTTCTTAAAATATTGATTAACAGAATTTTAAAATGTTTAATCCTATTGCGATTCAAGTAATGAGGAATAGTCAATTGCAGTGTCGGGGCTGTTTTGGGCTCAGTGTCCATGCAATGCCGACTGGACCTATGGGCACAGTAATATTTTAATAGATTATACTTACAAATATCATGCAAAGTATGAAATAAAAACGTAACAACAATGATTTGATTTTAAAGTTTTAATACAGGAACGACTAATATACAATAAAACTGCAAATCTATTTGTAGTTTTAACTATGAACATTTCCTACATACAATTATGATAACTAATTATCTTTAAATATATACGAAGTGTTACAGAAAAAAAGTGATTTAGCGATCTATTTTACGAGTTTCTTCTCATCTAACTCATTGATAACTTCTTGAAGTGACTCGACAGGAATGTTAAGCGTTAACTTCTTGGAGGCAATTAATGTGATGTGATCTCCCTTCGTTTTGCCAACAGAGAGGGTTTTCGTTCCCCAGAGATTCCATGGTGATTTCGTAATAGGAGGGGTTTCGGTGTAAGGGCTCCCTCCTTGCCCGCTTCCACCATCTAGAGTGCTGGTGCCATATTTTGCAGGATTCCACCATGGATTGTTCCTTGCCTTTGAGGTTTCTTCTTTGCTAGGCAGGTTTGTGGCGACAGTAAGTGATCTTGTGATTAAAGTGGGCAGACATTTGGTTGTAGTTGGTGGAGGTTTGGTTGTGCTTGGTGGGTATTCACGTGTTGGCGGTGCTCCCTGAGTCCAGCCATCTGGTAAACAGAAATGCCCTTTCTCTTCGTGGACGTATACACATCTAAGATCGTCTGATTCCTCACAAAAACAATCAGTGTGGCTGGAACAATATTTTGCAAACATCCGACATCGCTCACTAATAGGTGGGGGTTGTGTGCCTCGAGATGAAATAGGTGGGTCATCTGTAGGATCCCATTCTTCTGGTAGGCAATAAAGATCCTGCATCTCAGGGAAATAGACACACCACAGTTCATTGGAATGCTCACATGAACAATCGGTATCTTCTACACATCTTGTACCTAGGTTTTCGCATTGCCATTTCGTTGTTGTTGCTGGGGAGGTGGGAGTAGTTGGCTTGGGGGAAGTGGTGGTTGGGGGCTTATATGTGGGAGAGAAAGGTGTAAACCACGAAGGAAGATCTTCATTCGATGTCAGACATAACCCCTTCGTATCCATTGATAATTGTTTACAGTATAAGTACTCGCCATACTCGCATTTGCAATCGTTGTCATGGTAACATTGATGCTGGTACTTGAAGCACTTTTCAGGAGAAGGCGTACTCGGCAAATAAAACATAGCGACTTCATATTTATTTGCTGGCATACATTCTTTTCTGCGCTTCAGGAATACAGATTTACAGCGGAGGTCCTCATTTTGACACGAGCAGTCTTTGTGTCGGGCACATCGCCTTCCATATTTATTACATTGAGCGGCGTATGCACTACGTTGCGGCCAAAACGGCATCTAAATTGATGAAGAAAAATTGTTAACAATCGAAACTCTCTGCCAGAGTCTCTGGAGAGACCGAAGGGACAGAGCCAAGTATCCGTATTGAAGAGGAGGCCGCCATAATAACGTGTTTTTATTTTAAACTAAAAACAGGTCCGTTTTATTCACATATTGTATACATCTAGGAAACATTGCATACAAACTATCATTTCTTGGCCACGGGAGTGTTCGTGTTAGCCTATCAGTGGCGTGCTGGGTACTATTTTTCTGGGGGGGGCCAGTCGGCTGGCAACTAATATGCTCCCCTATAATATTACCCTTGATAAACGAGGACCGAAGGCACGAGCCGAGCGCCGCAGGTGCGAGGTTTGTCTAGGGGGGTCCGGGGGCATGCCCCCCAGGAAAATTTTTGAATTTAGAGTCTCTGAACTGCCATTTCCTGGACTTTGGGGGAAGATTTGACAGAAATCTGATGGTCAGGAAACGGCATTACAACGTGTCGAAATTTTAAAATTGGTTAGAATTTAGTAGTAGCATTTAAATTGGGCAATGCTA